GTATATTAACATGTATGTCTTGACATTTACAGATCATTACTCGTAGTGAAAAATGCATATACGAAGTATTACAAACTTTTAACTACGAGTAATGTGCAGTCAGAAAAGGTTAAAGAAAAATCTAATTAAACGTTCCAAACTCTGAATCCAGCATGCACAAATAAATCGAAGTGTATGTAGGTTTTTTCATTAGAAAATTGCATAGAACCAAACTTTTAATATTGACAAGATTTGAAAAACATTCATATAATTTATTTATTATTCTATAAAAATGGGCCTGGATAGCCTAGGACACTGGGCCCATCTCCAAGAGGTCGTGAGTTCGATCTCAACAGGCCAAAGATTCCCTGTGTTCAAAATGCTGACAAGTGCAAGCTTAATCTATTGGTGACGCAAAGTACTCCAAGTTTCCATAACAAATAAATGCTGCTGAGGGTTCTGGATCGGAGATTGATCGTGCTCTGGTTCAGGACGAAATTACGATCAGCGGATGGATGGTGTGTGAATGTATCCTTCCTTTAAAGGGCTGTGACGTATGTTTGTGGCAAAAGTCAAATTCTTTACATTAGATGGAGCCATTGGAAAACAATAATAAGTGCACCCCACTGCTTTAAAATAAACTTGTTAGTATTGACAAGTGGATTAAGACAACAGCAACAATATTTCTAAAAAATTAATGTGGGTGCTGGAGAGAACTTAAGTGTTTATGGAATGCTGAGAGAACATCTACGGGAAAGTTAAGCCTCAAAAAAACGATCTCCATTTTTTTTCAAAATTTCAAAAAGGATACTACTGAACTGTTTTCAGAAAGGATTCTTTCTCGCCTCCTGCTCCCAAGTTCTCAGAGACAAATAAGTCTTTCAAGTTCCGATGAAATCTTTCTATTGAGACCTTCACAGCTTGTCATAATATAACTAATATACTTTGCGCAAAGTAAATTGTTCCTTCTCTAAAAAAAAGACACCAAAATCACTTTACCCTATAATGTAAAGTGTCATTTCCTGCTTCTTGTTGTGTTATTTGCCGGAATGTATACTCTTATTGATAATATATTTTGGGTTCTGTCATTTTCAAAATTCTTAACAATAATCAGTTCATTACATCTGAGAAAAGGCCACACCATGAACAACGGAAATGCATCCTTCGCCTTCATTATGTCAAAAGAACTTGTATAGATGAGTCTGATAATAATTGATTTTTAAATTTTCATTTTCATTTACTGGTTAAAGTTGTGAAAGACTTTAGCTCAATGGATACTTTCCTCTGTACTAAACTTTTCCTGCTTCTTACAGAAAATAAAAAAAAATAAATAAAAAGGAAATGAAGAAAAATACTTCCTGTTTCATAAAAAATTTAAAAGAATTTTTGTGAAAACTAATAAGTTTAAAATTAAGCTGTCAACTAATATTATTTTGTATATAATAATGTATAATATTATACAACATTTTAAAACAAACTTTAAAAATGAAATGGGATATTTACTCGGTCGATATGGAGTATAAATATGAGCTTAAGAGAAACGTAGCTTTTTTATGTAATGTATTGCTTGTAGAAATAATAAAACAAGCTGCTTTTTTTCTTTGAACTTACTTAAGACATATTCTGAAAAATTTCAGCGCCTTTATCATTATTTTTTTAAACTCGATAATGTTTTCATGAAATATTAATGAGTTTCTGTGAAATATGCGCATATAACATTTTATGTACTTCTAAAAGAAAGGCAAAAAAGTTTTCGAAAATTTTGAAATTATTTTAAATAATATGATATAGCAAAATAATAATATTTTTCTACGTTAGTAAAATTAGGTATTATGTTTGTACAGTTCGGTATTCAAAAGTTTATAACCATTTTTTCCGAATTCTTTTTTTTCTTTCTTAAATTTCGGTATCAACAATTTTGAATATTTTTTTTCTCCTTTTTTGTGAATTGCACCATCGATTCATTAAAAAGAAGGTAAAGTACGCGGTTTCACAAATATAGTTATACAAATAAAGTTATGTTTTACAAACAAGTAATATACAAATAAATATATAAATTATAAATTTTGCTTAGTATACGAATAAATACAAATATAGCCACATAAACTTTCATTTGCTAATTACTACTTTTCGAAGATTAATTTCCTTTGTTTTTTTTCTTTTCACTTTTTTAGGTTTATTAATTTTTTTACGTAAAAATAAACATAATTATTTAAAGTAATTGCAATCTGATTTTTTTTCTTGGAAACATGTTTTACTTCTGCAGTTTTCCATGACCAACGTTTCCAACTGTAGAATTTCAACATTAGCTTATCAGAGCTGAGCGATGTAGCATTGGAAACGATCTGAAACATTTAGCATTAGATACGTACCATGACAAAAAATTGAAAGATATCAAATGTTTCAAAAATTAATTTTGAGCCTCTTTTTTTTTCAATGCTGCATCGAACTTTCTGAGCAAGAAGACACGTGAAATTTAGTTACGAGTAGTAAATAATAACAAGTTCATTTCTTTATTAGAGAAAAAAAGTAAATAAGAGATTGCGAAGAATTAGGTACAGCAACTATCATTTTCAAATAACGTGATACGTACTGACTATAGAATATGTGCTACTCACCCGTGTCTCTTACAAAAAAAATATTTGAAATATGGAGTGTAAGAATAAAAACGAAAGAATATTGTTAAATACTCATGTCTTATAAACCAAATTCTCTTACAGAAAAATACCTTATATTAAAAATTTATTAAATAATTATCATTTAACTCAATTCATTTTGCAAATTAAAATATAGTTGAAAATTAAATTTATCTAATAAGAACATTATAAATTTTTGGAATATAATTTTCGTCTCTAAGTATACTTGCATATTAATTTTTGAATGAATGTAATAGAAGCAACTGTAAAGGGAAAAAAAGTAAAATAAAAAAAAACAGAACCTATTTAATAAAATAAATCTATCCAATAAGAAAATCTGTCTGATAAAAAAATTCTAAGTAAAAAAAATATACATTTGGTCACTTTTTTTAAACAGTTGAAAAATATCCCTCAGTAATGTAAGAGACTTTTGACGTTAATTGATAACAGTTGTAAAAACTTTTCTTTTTATGATTATGCAATACAACAAATTTGTTTATAATTTCATAACCTCACACAATGCACTATTTATTGGAGGAAATTAAGAGTTTCGCTTACAACAGTTTATTTATAATCTTTCAGAAGCGATAAGGAGTACTTTTTTTAAATTAGTAAAATAATTAAATAATCATTATATGCTAGCTTGTTGTGCATTAAGTAGTCAAAAAAAGATGTATATATAGTATATATATANTATATATATATATATATATATATATATATATATATATATATATATATATATATATATATATATATATATATATATATATATATATATATATATATATCGTGCTCTGATCCAATCTTTTCGAAATTTTGCCTTCCATCCCTATTTTGAGGGTCAGGAATCCAAATAAGTAAAAATAATATGTTTATTCAGAGAAAGTACGTTTTTGTGTCTGATTTTTAGTAGTTAGTAGTTAGAACAGTTACCGAAGTCAATTTAATTTGTACTTATTACTTATTCAGCATATTTAAATTTACCCCCAGTATAAGAGTGGTTTCCAGTGTAGTCATATTACTGACCAGACCGTACTATTAGTAAGCAGTAAATATTTGAATAGATGCAGCAAAACTATTTGGAATATACAATTAATTAACTTATTCAAAACATGAGCTTTTTTTATCAAAGTATGCATGGTAGCAAAATCAGCCTTCGCTGAAATTATTTAAAATTATATTTTAAACATAAAAATATGCCATACGCCAAAGAGTAAATAAAAAAAAAATTCATGAATAAAACACGCACTGGGAGTATTACACAAAGAAAAATATAGCGGTAGTTGAAATTCGCGATTATGTCATACAAAAGATTAAATTGAAAAAATAAAAATACGATAAGGTTAAACAAAAGAAACAATGCAATAATGAGACAAAACATTAGATTAATTACTAATATTCCATTTAATCATAACTCTAGATTAATGTGCCCAGATTTAGCACATGACATGATTTTATTTCGCAGCACAATTTGATATTAAATGAAAAACGAATGCTCTACAACACTAAATTACTAAAGCATATGCATAAACTAATTTTTTTTGTCGAATTTATACAATTATGATGAAGTCAGATTTAAAATAAAAAAACAATTCTATATCACAACACAGACGACCTCTTTCACCATTCCACCCTAAGAAAAGAGAAGAGAGAGAGCGAGAGAGAGAGACTCGCCCTATCACGCCGGAGAGAACGAACCAGCAACTCGCCCTATCACGCCGGAGAGAACGAACCAGCAAAGTGCCTTAAAGTGCCTGCCACACTTCCGAAAATGTATATTCGGTTTAGGTATTCCGCTGTTTTTGTTTTGGTGTGCGGTGTATATATATCTATATATTATTAGGTAATGAGTGATAAACATCAACGTTTTAAAATTCAGACTCACACTTGTTGAGAAAGTTGTCCCGCTACTGTTGGACTTAGGGTGTTTTTCATTTATATAACATTTAATTAACTAAATAATAAACATGAATTTTTAAGTTTTTTTTTATTTCGATTCAACTTTTAATTTTCGAAAAACTATCATAAATATATATAATATTGAGAAATGAGTAAGAAAATGATTTTTTTTTCAAATTTTCACAGAGATGTTTCTCTTTTGTCTAAAATAAAATCCGTTTGGTCAAATTAGACGCATATCTTCATATCGCAGATGGGTAAATACTTATTTTTAAATTACTAATGCACATGGCATATTTTAAAGCTTTTAATATCAAGTGAAATAATCTCTTTAAAATAATAACCTATTTAAAACAAAAAATTCTGAAATGGAATCAAAGCAGGGAAAATTCTGAAATAGAATCAAAATGAGAATTTTGAAATAAAATTAAATAACAAATTTTAAAAGTAATGAAAGAAATTTTTCGAAAAAAAATATCTTACCTAATGAAAGAAACTTTTGATTGATGCTGTCATACAAAGGCCACACAAATCTCTCAAATCTTGTTCTTGTTCTTTCGGGGCTTTCTAAATCATGGATCACATTTGGGTCCCTAAAAATTTTTAGACAAACATTAAAGGGAAATCAAACATCCAAAATGTATCGATGCATGCATTATTGCTATGACCACTGTTATAGGAACATAATACTAGAAAATAACTTCATCTAAATTTTATGATTTTTATTAAATGTAAAAATTATTTATTTTAGAAATACAACTAATTTTATTTCTATGCAATCTGTAATTACTATAGTAAAAATTATTAAAGTAAGGTGCTTCTTTTGAATAACAGTTATTTTAATAATAATTTTGATTTTTTGCTTTATATTTCAAATCATTAAGCAAATGTTCATGATTACATGAAATCGAGATGCACCTGCAATTGATACTGATTTAAAAATGAAATATTTTTTTAAGGTTTACTATTTAGAAAGAAATTATAAACTTCAAGAAGTAAATGGTAGTAGGTAATAAAACATTGCATGAATACTAATAACATCGATTTTAATTTTTTTTATCTTCTTAATCATTACACGGATGATCTGCACATGGATATTTCTTTCATGTTTTATTAAAAAAATTAGAGCTTGCAAAGCACTAATACAACTGTTCAAATTCACTTCACCCTTAATACGTTGCTAAGATTAACTATATTATCGATCAAATCCTTTTTAAGTCAATTCACTCAGTAAATTCTCCATTCTCGTATTTTAAAAGGCGCAATTTTTTATGCTACAAATATTTTGTGAAAACACCAAAAAAGGACTATAATATTAATGAGATGTCTTGAATGAATGTTTCAGAAAAACATTTTAATAAATTAATCTAATAAATATAAGGGATATATATTCAAATTATTCAAATATTATATATATTATTCAAAAATTTCAAGAGCAGATATAGAGAAAAAGCCGTCCAATGACAATGTTACCAAGTAAAACAAAAGTATAAAAATGGAAGAAACTGAAAGTAGTTTTCGAATTGCTAGACTATAAACATTATTGAAGTAATAATTAAGATGTGTAATTTTTTGTTCGTGAGACGTAAAGTGGGTCTAATGAACTAGTTTGTACGATATTAAAATTAACTTAAGAAGAAATAAGGTTTAATTTAACGCCATGTAAAGATTAAGATGAATTTTAAAAGAACAATAGTTTTGTCTCTCGATATGGTTCAATGCTCAATAATTTCTGAGACGTGTTTTTATCTGCTATTTAATATGAATACATTTTCCATTTTCTAAGCAAATTTTACGCAATAAATAAGCACACAAAATTCTTTATGTTTAAATATAATGCTTTGCAGCTTGTTTTATAAACTGTAACTCGTACATTTGATTCAGAAAAAACTCAGTGTGCTTAATAATTTCCACAGCACATTTGCCTACCTTGCATTTAGTTACTATAGGAATACAGCATTTATTTATTTTTTTGTCAAGATTTAAACATCTAAGTAATAACAGTGAAAATTCAGATTTTTGAGTCAGATAAGACCCAATTTAATTTAACATTTTACTTGATTTTTAAAAAAAAATCATTTAAATAAGTACTGGAAAAGAAAAATGTCCATGAACTTTACAATTTTCTTCTGAAATAGCATATAAAAAGTAGATTTTCATGTAAGGAGCGAAAATAATACCATGCTAAGTGTGAAAATAATACCATGCTATTATTTCTCATTTTGCAATATAATGAGATTTATAATAGTATGTGTCTTCCCTTAAGGCATTATAAAAATACTGCTGAATGAACCTTAACTTTAGTAGTTTTTATTTGTATATTTACGTTCTTTATTCTGATTTAGTAGATTTGAAAGTGCTTTTATCATGCACCGGTAGAAATTTTGGATTGCGTAAATCAATATTGTTCAAATTACTTGCAGCGTTCAAGTGGTGCTATTTAAATATTAATTTGCTCTTTAAGATTGAATAGAAAAATGGTTTAATAAAAAAATTTATAAAGTTTGCTGAAAATTTGTAATTTATATAGGGTTCAGATTAAAAAAAAAATTTCTGAAAAATATTCTATCAAATTCATGAAAAAACATAAAGCATTACTTCAAAATAATAGATAAAAATAACCTTAAAATTCTCAATCATCAAGAATACAAAGGCATGCCTGAGGCATATATCTCAAATCAATATCTTTTTTGGGGCTTAAAGTCATTTAAAAATAAAATATTGTTTCTAATAAGCCTAGTAGATGTTTTTTTATTAATACCTATATATTGCAAAAATTTCGGATCAAATCACGGTGCAAAGTACCGGCCATATGGGTGCATCATCCGTAAAATCCATTTTACCGTAATAATAATTTTTACTGTAAAATATTATGCAGTGCGTTTTACAGTAATATTTATTTAAAAAGAGAAATTCAATGACTTTAAGGTAATTATTACTTTAAAAATTACGGAATATCATATTCAGAACATGTTCTAGTAAAAATAGATTTAACGGTAAAAAGTACCAGCACCATGAGAGTTGGTACTTTTTACCGAAATATTTTACAAGTTGCATTGGTCCTAAATTGAAGTAAATTTTTTAGAACATTCATTATTTTTACCCATAAAAAGATCGGAAAAAAGTGGAATACCATATTCTTTATTTGCCCAAATTCAAAAGTGAATGTTTAGCTTTTATTTCACGCCAGACTCAAATGATTGCATGTTTTTGCATAATTAACTTCCCTTTTAATTTACTTAAAAACTAAAATGTTTGGGGTAAAAACGTATCTTAAAATAGGCAAAAACATTTTGATTTCTTAACAATAATTGATACAGTTGACAATCTTGAAATAGTTGACTAAGTTTTGAAACCATAAGCATCTATTAAATTTAAACTTTAACTTTTAGAGGCCACTAAAAGGCCACTTTCAGTGGACTTTTAGACCCCGAGATACTTCGTGTTTTGTTTTACTTATTTTCTTCATTAATCTTAGGTACGTTTCGTTTTGTAAGTTTGAATACGCACTATCATTAGACTCCAGATCTTGTGTCATTGAACTATGAATCAAATGAAGGAAGACAGTATCATATTATAAAGCATTTTTTGTGATGCTTGATAAAAAAGAAAACTTAAAGCTTTTAAAGATATATGAAACTGTTAGCTCAATATGAATTTTAACTAAGGAAAAAAAATTGCTAATTAAACAACAATTTAATATTGTCTTAATAACCACCCAATGGTCACTTTTTATTCAGTATCGATATCATTCGTAAAAATTCCTTACTGTTTTAAATATAAATTATTTTTTTTGTGGAATTATTATTATTATTTTTTTTGCTTTGGGGGGGGGTGGCATTACGGTTATAAAACATATTTATGAAACAAAATGAAAATTATTCGTAGTAGGTAAAAGGACATTTTAAATAAAAAAAGTATTTTGAAAAATTTTAAATGCGCAGAGGTAATTTTATTTGGAATTACCATGCATCTATAGCAACGATAGACGTAATAAATGTAAACGCAATTGAAGTAAAAAAAAACACTATAGAAGTTCTAAAGACTAAAAGCTAAATTAAGAGGAATTACTTATTTATCGTTCGTACGTTGTCTTGCTATTAATTTTCTCGTTTCCTTTAGAAAGATCAGAAGTTAAAGGAGCAAAAACAAACTATGTCAGCTTTGATTTATTTAGCTAATTTTGCGAGCTAAACTCCAAAAGAAAGTTTTATTCTTTGCTTAATAACGAAGTTATAGACATAATGAATTCAGTCAGGATATGAGAAACGGAGGAGAACGTGGTATTGCTTTGCAGTTTTTTATTATTAATTCTAGAACTCTATTATTAAACATACACATTAATTAGCAGTTCAATACGTATATGTAAATATGGTGACATTTAGAGTGAAAATTGGATTTTTTAAGTCTATATTTTATTGAATACATTTATCAATTTATCCTTCTGCATATTCAATTGCATTTCTTTAGGTGAAGAAAAATTTTGCCTTCTCATAAAAAATATCACTGGATTGAGAAATAGTAAACTATAGTTTTTTTTGGAAGATGAATGTTTGTTTATAAAAACACATATAAAGACAATTCTTCAGATTTGAGATTATTTTTGCTTTGAACTGATGTCTCCACTTTGTATCGAGCAATAAAATTTTTTTATTCACATTTTACCTTCCACTTATTATTTTTCCGAGTTTTATCTTCATTTATCTAATATATCTGATCATGAACCACACCAAAATAATTTTTCTTTAAAACAATTTTTCAGTGATTTGTCACCGACATGCATAGTCGCATACCTACTTCTGTTATTATTTTCAGATTTTAAAACATAAATTAAAATTTGTTCTCAGTCTAATTTTGCTATTATTAGTACGTACAAAATTAATTACGAAAATAGTTCAATTAATTTTATTATAAATATGGAATAATATTCAACCTTACGACTTTTTTGTCATCAACCATGTTATGAAGGTATAAATATTTTTTATATAAATTAAAATTTTCTAAATCAGCAACACTGTTAGAACACATAGTAAATTATTGTTCCAAATGAAGTTGTATTTTGTTGTTCTTTCAAGATATTTATGATTACCTTCCAAATTTGCTTTGTTTTTAAAGTAATAATCATTAAGATGGCTTAAAAAGTTAAAATATAAATATAATTTAATTTTAAATAAGTATTGTAATAACTCTCTGACTATTAATAAGCTTGAATATTTTTAGAAACTTTTTTTGATATTACATGAAATATGAACTGCTAATTAAGATCAGAAAAGTGCTAATTTTATTAAATATAACCAGATATAAATATGGGTAGGGGAAGAGTGGCTATAAAACTTAAATTAAAGTTAAAACTCACTTATTCTAGAACGTCATTAATATGCCCTTTTTTCCATTTAATTCTTTGTAAAAAATGCCAAGCCAAAAATAAAATATGATACAAACTTTTAAGCTCAAGCTCTATTGACAATTCAATACATAGATATTAAATAACATTTGAAGTATTTTAATGAGTATTTGATTTTTTAACAATCATATTTTCAAAAACTTCATGCTTAACATCTTCTCAAATTTGAAGAATCATCATCCATATTGAATATAATCTTATGGGAAAAGAGTTTTAAGAAGTTCGTAAGTAAGTGAATGCAGGAACAAAATCGAAATCCAAATTATTCGAAAAAATGTTTTCCCTAGTGTTTATTTGTAAAAAAAAAGTGAGTTTACAATTTGTATTCTTTATAAGAATCTGAAAAAGAATAGAACATTTGATTTCACATCTAAATCAACAGCTTCACACCCCTTAATCTAATAAGTCATTAGATTATCCATTGCAGTTTTTAGTTTAATTGTGATTATAATTATATAATATTCAACATTCTGAATCGATTTATGTGATGCACAGGTATAGTATTTAAAAAATTATATGAAATCATGGAAAGAAAAGTTGCTACATAGAGATAAAAAAAAATATCTTACCCGTATTTGGCAAAGTTTGTCCAATATAGCATAATTGCTTCAGATAAAGCAATTTCGGGTTTGCTGTAGTTGTTTGGAAAATGAGCTAAATTACTAACTAATGGAGCTCCAAATAGATAAGGAATATCTTCACCATGTACACATACTAATCTCTGTGGATAATCACTTGCTTCAGTTGGATAATTAAATACGTACAAAAACGTCCTGTGATTTAGTTTAGATAAAATATTTGCGCTACTTATTAAGGGAGCTACTACTAAGGCATCCGATAAAGCGTCCACAGTTCCATCTAAAATATTTACTGGGTGTTGCACAGGTCTCGCCCAGTCAGTATATTCATTGACTATTGTCAAGAAAATTTCTTGCAAATGGAAAGTAAATAAATTTCGAACTAAAGTTCTTAAAATTCGGTCTCTGCGTCCAGCTTCTATACCATAACGCTCTTCACTGGCACCAAAATAGAAGAAAGATTCTATCCTTGTAACTCCGATTAGCACGTCTATTTTTGGCACATTTTGTAGCTCTGTAGGAGTATTTAACAGTAGTTTTTCAGGTTCAGCTGGAATAACTATACCATCTACAATTGGTCCAAATGCTGTTAAATATTCTGGTACAAGAAGTTGTACTCTCATGATTTCTGATATAGGTCGCAGTCTCATGCAGCGAACAAGAGCTGGATGATCAAGAACAGGGCATCCCAACTTTCTAGCCAGATGGCGCGTGAAAGTCATTGCTTCATGAGCAATTGCCCAAGGACTAAATGCTGAACCACTCTGAAGAACAACTCGATGAAAAAGTCCTGAAAATAAATGATGCAGTAAATAGTTAATGCATTATCTTCTGTGCTAATAAAAAAAAATAACGAAAATAAACAATAATGAATTTTTACTCATGTATACAAATCGTTTAGAGTTACTTAACTGGCATGAAAGTTTTAAAATGCTATATATAATTAGGGTCAAAAGTTAGCTATCATTGACTTAATATTTCGATTGGAATGCAATTTAATTTGCAGAGAAATGTTATACGCAGACAATTATTTTCTTTAAAAAATATTTAAATACATTCTATCGTGTAAGTGTAAGAAAACATTTCAATGCCTGGTGCGTTTCTTAAAAAAATAATGGCATTCTGAAATAGTAACCATTCTAAAATCAGGCAAAAGAATCTGTAAGGTTGAAAAAAATATAATCTAACTTCTATTGAAGACTTATTAAAGTTAAATACATTCCGTCAAGGTTATAATAAATATCTATTAAGATAAACGCATGTCCTTGCGCACAAAACCTGCATACATTGAATACTACTTCACTTCTAATGTTTTAAATACAGATAAGAGTATTTTATACATTATTATATGAAGGCAAATAAGCAAAGTGTAAAATGTAAGGAATTGCTTGAATATTCTCAGCTGAGTTACGATAAACATGCAATAGTTGAATGTAATATTTACAACAAATACAGTTCTTAGCCCTGGGGTGCTTCGGGGAAAATATGTGGAGCTTCAAATGCTTCACTAAAAGCATTTCAAACATGCTCTGTGAAATTATATCTGTAGATCTGACTTTCCATTCAATTATCTGAACATTGTTAGCTTCAGGATATATCTTGTTCAGCTCAGCCCTTTATAGACACACGTTGTCTAACACCATAAAATGAAATGGGAGCAGAAAGTGCCTCTTACATTGAAGGAGTTCTGTTAACAAATAATTTAAGGTGCCTTCTACAACGTCCCGGTGGCCTCTATAGTGATTCAATTCCACGATGTTGGAGGAGTGGTTCAGATTCTCTAGTTTTGTTCATGAGTAAAAACGCGAAGAATTGTTGTTTGGATAGAATCAGAACTCGTCAGTGACGAAAGCATATGCCCATTTAAAAGTTGGTGTATCTTGAAGCAATTCAGATTGATTCTCCGATGATCTGAGTTGTCAAGAAGATCCCCTGTCCTTGCTGATATATAGTGTTGAGTTCACATAAGATTGCTCAGTGGCGCTGCAGTTCTACAATTCATTTTCATGGAGGGCAACATGCGTTAAGACATGCTTGCGCTACTCGAAAAACGCATTATGATGATAGGGGTTTTATACTCTTGCAATTATCTCTTATATCTAAGTGATCTTGGAAAATCATTTGCAGCTCACTATGCCCTCCCAGATACTTCATGAGGCAAATAAATGCTTTAACAAAGCTTGATGGAACTACCTCAACGGTTTATTATTCCAAGACCTTAGACAAAATTGAAAATAGGATGGTAGGTCGTTGTGGAGCATTGTCGTCAAGGGGATTTATCCATGTTAAACTCTCTACGAGTACCATTTTAATACATCATTTACTGTTAATTACCCTGATGTCCAATAACCCAGAATCCTAAGTTTGCTCCATCACCTCTCTTTTTATCTTTGTCTTTCATTTTTAACATTGTGATGCATTTTCATATAAAATTTTGCTTGATTTGATTCATAATTTCATGAGTTATACAACAAATTGGGTTCGTTACTTATGTTTTGGACACTAGGGTATTTATCCATGTACAGTTTTATATCTTTTATGTACTTTAAGGAATTATTTAAAAAAATTATAGTACTTTTATAACCATTTGTTCGTATCACGTCTTTTTTTTTACCTCTGTGAATTAAACCGACGCTGAATTCCATGTTATTGAGAAATTTTCTTTTCCTCTATGTCTTTAATGCTCAAATTCTACACATTTCTTAAAGTCTGAAGTTTTCTTTCGGAGTTTAAAATTGTGACGATTTTAAATTATAGTACAAAACGGAGAAAACGTATTTATATCTACTATGAGTAGTAAGGCAGTTTTGGTTAAAATAAATGCATCGTGGGTAAGTAGGTGATTTCTATTGATTTTTCACGTACTCAATTTTAGGAAAAAATATTCAAAAACTTTCAAGAACTTTTTTTCGAATAGAAGTAGTTGTTAATATATATATACTTCATCGACGATCGAAATGGCATGAGAAGTGTGATAAAATGATACTGAGAATGCATACTTTATAGAATATATTTCTACCCTTTGCATCATATAATAATTTTATTTTGTACTTTTGATTTTTTTGCAGTGCATGATAAATTATTTATTCGTGTAATTTCTTTCACTTTTTCTATTAGATGCAAATGAATTTTTCGGTGATGATTGGAAAAAAGGCTAAGTAAGAAAAGAGACATAAAACTTTTTAACAATAAAAAGAATATAAAATGATTTTACATGAAATATAAAAGATGCAAAAACTCTATAAAATGTTTAACAATAATGATTTCAAAATATTATTTTGAGACTGAAATAAAGCATTTTTTTAATGTTTTTAAATTTTTCAGGTAACAAAAAATTTCATTACCAAATGTGATTAAATGTAAACATTTGACAGTATATATAAATTATCTTATATTTTTCCCAAACAATTTTCATGAAAGATATGAAAAATTATTCAATTAACTCATTATTAGAAATAGTCCCCAAACAAACTGCATTAAACATGCCAGGAAAATATATTTTTTCCCTAAAGCGCTACTTTAAATTATTTTAAGATAAATTTTGATAAAAATATATTTCTTGGAAAATAGTTAATAATATTATAGTTTGAAAAGAGTTTTATACTAAGCATTTTTATTATTTATTATGTTTTTATTATAAAACCTTATTAAAAATAAAAATTTCCCTTTTAAGATGATAATACAAAAACAGGTATCTGATAAACAAGCAGCTTAACGTTGTTAACTGTGGCGATAACTTTCATTAAATTACGACATAAAAGTTTTCAAAGACTTTAAAAATGAATATTTATACAGGACAAGTAGCTTTTGTGAGGATTATTTTTTTCTAGCATTTTAGATATACTTAACATTTTAACGACATATATTAATTTTGGATCTTCAAAAATTGCAACATTACATTAAGAAAACCATCTACTTTATTTTTGTTAAAAAGATTTTAATTTTTTTTAAACGAATTATATTTTTTAAACCAGCTTGATGCAATTTTCAAAAATTTCACAGGGGAAACAAAAAACATATAAAATATAATAAAAAATATCTAGGCATTCAAATTTAGATGAATGTCTTTAATGTTTTCAGAAAGAATTCGGTAATCAGAGACATTTTTGTCGTCAAAATTTTTTAGCTTTTAAGAAAATGAAAAATTTTTAGAATCAATCTGATTTCTATACAATAAATAGATCAATTTTGTTTTGTACTTCAAGTACAGCATTGAAACGAAACTATCGATTCTTGCCTTATTTTGTGATTGAGATGCACTTTTTTTAACTGATATCTAGAAAATGTATTTAAAGAATTTTCTTTCTTTCTGTAAATAGTAATGTATTTTTTTCAAAGTTGTCTGCCTTAGTTAGACAGTGACGGAAAAAGAAAAAAGGTATTTCAGAGAAGTTTCCTTTGTTTTCTTAGTCAAAACATAGAAGCCGCACATACCTGCTGCACACAATTCAAGCAGAAAGTATTTGGAAAAGAAACTAGGTTTGATAGAAAGCTGTTTTTTTTTCTTAAAAAAAAACTGAAATAGTCTAGGAGTTCCTTAATGTCTAAGCAAACGATCATCACAGAGAAGGAAAATACTATGTTGGGTCATAAAGTAGATATATTTTTGAGAATATTTTGCGTATAAACCTTATTTTCTTTCAAATATAACATAAAAGTTATTATAGTGTTACTGTCAGTAATGCAGAATGTCATTATAGACTCCTTTCACGAAAATATTATTATATTGTCATGCATTGATATAGCAGATTTGTAAAATAATCTGTTGCAAAATAAGAATATAATAAAAACTTATGCCCACCACAAAAATAATTGGGAGCAAATTTGTTTTTATGTAAATACATCTTCCACAACCTTGGTATTCCTTCAGAATGTTTATGAAGTAAAATGAAGATTAACCATGGAAGTTATGCATTTGTAAAATTAACTTAGAAATTTCTGGAGAAACTTCATATTAAAATGTATTATATTTCTTGCTGTCTAAATTTGTTAGATATTGCTTCTTTGGATTGTGAATTGTTTAGATTCGAGTGAAGCAATATTTCCACCCAAAATGTGCAACTGGAGTATTAAAAATTAGTTTAAAAACACCATTCGATATTTCGAAAATGCAATTACGAACCTGTAAAATAGGTGCAAGTTTTAACTAACTCTAGGAAGGTAGAAAAAGAAATAATATGCTTAATTATACCTCCATGACTCCAGGTAGCTAGTACTTTGACTAAAATGAATGTATTATTTATTCGAAAAATAATTAAATCGTTTTAACACGCACTGAGAAAAATGCATGGATATATGGTGAAAATACCAGAATATGATAAAATTTACTCTGTTACAGGCACTAGGGGAGCACTAATCATTTTTATATTTGCTATCACAATATATTTGCTATGACAGAAACAACAGACATGGCTGAAGACTCTTTACAGAAAGCAGGTAAGTTTTATGTATCGTCCACCAAAAAATTTTGCAGCTCCCTGTCTTTTTTTGAACTGTGAACACCTTGTGTTGAACAGTAAGATTAAATAGTTGAGTGACCCTTAATTTCAATATTTCACAATAGTTCTAAGAAACTCTGTATCTTACCTTAAAATTAACTGGATTTGTATTACTTGTTGGAATTAACTGGGATGTAACTGAATTTCTTTACACATACTATTATTTAGCCCATAGGTGGGTGATGCGATTTCGTGAACTATTGCTGTGGCACCTGGGTGCGAAAGATTGAAGACCACAATTTTAAGTGTTTCTATTGTTTGAAATATACAAATTTTATTTTTTGTTCCTGCT